AAATATTTGAGCAGCGTGGTGTTGGCGGAGAGGAGAGGTGGAGTGTGTGGGGGGCGGAGGGGATAAATGAACTCTTGGAAATAGAAGTGATGGAGGGTTAATCTAGTGCCCATGTGTTGTGGGGGGAAAATCCTGAGTCTGGGGCAGGCTGTGACTAGCCCTGCATTGCTGACTTATTGGCTTGGTTTGGACGGCTCATTACAGCACTGGCAATAGTCTTGTGGCCGCAATATTGCTGCTGTCTTTGGTTCTGCTACTTGCTTGACTTTGATAAACCTCCCTAGCTCCCCTGGTTAGCACTGTCTGGAGGCATTGGCCGTCACTGCCTGAAGACTGAGTTGTTTTTGGCAGGGCACTGGCTGCTTTGGGTGCCTGGGAAAGGGATAGGATTACTGTCCGAATGGAGGGCCGGGTGAAAGCGTTTCCCTTGAGAAGGCTGTTGGGTGTCTACATGTGGAGTGACTTTGGCAGGTCTCAGTCCAGTTCCTAGTGGACCGGTGTCCCTGTCCCTGTCCAGGGTCTCAACAGACAGTCTGTGTTACAGTCTCAGATACCTTCAGGGCATCCTTCCAGACCGCTGTTGACCCACACAGGACCAGCAGCGCATGCAAAGGAGTCTTTCCCGATGCCCTTGCAGTATGTGAGCCCTGCGGCAGCCCGGGTGCGGCGCTAAGCCGGGCAGTGAGGTAGCACTGCAGTCTCCCGCTGCAGCCGTGTTTCTGTGGGTTTCTTTGTTTAGGCCGCACATGAGTCTGGCCAAGCTGGGTCAGCCTAGCCCTCGGCGTGGTGACAGCAGGCCACCGATCAGCCGGCGGAAATCCTGCTGGTGCTGCACTAACCACAGCAAGCGAACTTGTGGGAAGCTGGGTCTGCTGCCCAGGGGGACGGCTTCAGCATTCCCACAGGAAACTGCTTCCCAGGCCTGGAGAGATGAGGAGCAGGGCTGGGGGAGGAAGCAGCCCCTCCGTGCAGCTCTGTACGGGAGGGAGGTGCACGTGTGCATGCACGTGCACCCTTTACCTGCAAGTTTGCCCACCCGCGTCCCACTCTATCCTTTTCTCTTGCTTTTTACTCCTGTGTTGTTTCCTTTCTTTTCTTCCTCTCCCTTTTTTCCCTCTTTCTCTCTCTTGCATCCTAGCCCATCCCACAGGACAGCGCAGTCTATTTTAAATTACCACTGGGGCAGGTTTTCCCATCCGCATGCCATTTCCTTGCTGTCCTGCTGGAACAGGAGAGTTTGTCGTGCCAGAAATTTGGGCCATGTCCTCAGGCTTCTTTGGTACCTTAAGGACGTTGTGGCAGCTGGTCTTAGCCCTCCCCTCCCCACTTCCCTTGCCTTAGCGCAGCCTCTCCCTCTCCCCATTGCCCTTAAGGAGGTGTTAGAAGTTCAAGGCGGACCATTTCCAGAAAGGTGACATCACTGCTGCGCTGGGTCATCTATGGGGGCACATCTCCAAACCTCCCCCTCCCCAAGGGGACCAGCCACAGCTTGAACAGGGTGTGACACCGCTCCTCATCAGTCCGTGCTTTCCATTTTCCTTCTGGCTCTAGCAGGTGTTTGCCTCGCTTTTCTCATTGCTGTTGATCCCCGGCTGGCTGGGTTTCTCCGGGCAGAGGCTGCGCTGAGGTTTTATGTGCATTCAGAGTTTGGCACCCGCAGAATTATGGTCACTGTATTTCCAGCGCAGATGGTCGCCCGCCTCTTTGCTCAGCCCTGTCTGCTAATGTCAAGATGCCTGGGGCTGTGGGCAGCTGGAGGAACAGGCTCTGGAGGGTGCAGCTCAGCCATTTCTAGTGGGATAAGAGCTCCCAGTTGCATGGGGAACAGCACCTGTGCTGGGACATGGGATTCCCAAGGCCCATCCTTTTCTCATTGACAGTGGTGACTCAGGAGTGACTTTCTCTGAGGTGACCAGAGAGGCACAATTGTAAGTAAGCAGAGAATTAAGCCCTTTATACCATTAGAAATTGTATCCACATGAAATTATCTGAATTATACTGTGTGATGCTGCCCTCTGGTCTTTCAGATTTGCTTTCAGCATATGGTTTGGAGGCCTGGATGCAACAAGGTGTGTTGGCAGATAACGTGTCTGCAAATGCAAAGGACTTAGGTGCCTAATCCCCTGTCTGCTTGAACTGTGCTCACAATTGTATGATTTTCTCTCCCTTTTTGGCCCAGAACAGACCGCTGCAACCTGCCTGTCTTCCGACACGCAGCGTCCTGCGTTTTTGTTTGCACTGACTCACCGTAAGGAGATTTTCATGATTTTTTTCTCCCTTTGTGAGCCTGAAGCAACCTAAGGGAGCAAAACATGCCACGGAAAATGTGGATTTGGAGGGTAGAACCTACTGGCCTTGCAATCAGGGAATCCCCCTCTTCGAGTTGGTTGTATTTCACCTGCCAGTGGTCCCACGGACACCTCTGGGGACCAGTGTTGGGGTGAGGCAGCAGGGACAAGGTGCTGTCCAGGGAGAGGGTCTCTCATGTGACCATCTAAATATCCAGCTCCTGGGGTCAGGTGCTGAGTGGCCACCCTGTAGGTCCCTGGCTCTCTCAGCTGTGAAAATGATGGCAGCTATGTTGCACCCTCACCCGGGACAAGGATGTACAACTAGGATGGGCTTGCCCAGCAGCAGTGCATCACTGATAGGTAAGCAGCTCAGAGCATCGCGTCATATCCTGAGTTAGGCTTTTCACCGTTGACCCTAGATATGCCAGCAGGAGCAGGGGAATCTTGGACTCTCTATTAGCCGTTACCTGTTTGAGTCTTGGGACCCTCATGGAGAGCTCCTGATGCCACGCGGTACAGGGCACCTTTATGCCACTAAGCTGTAATACCCGGTCTGAGTCTTCTCCTACGCTTGAAACAAACATGATGGGGGGGGAAAGCCGATTCTTCTCCTTTAAAAACTATTAATTGGCCCCCACTCCCCTGTTCCCAGGATGGCTGCGGGTTTGGGGATAAAGAACAGCTCTATCTCAGTGCAGCCTGAATGATCCCATGCCTCTTTCCCTTAGGAAGCCTCGAAACCTAGACTCCGAAGCAAAGAGAGCAGATGTTGAGCTGGCAGGCAGCTCCAGGGACCGACTGTACCTTGGGCCCGTGTCCTGAAGCTTTGGGCTCATTCCACTCTCCTGTTTAACATCCACTTAGTTAGTTATTTATTTTTTTAGGAAGGGAAAAGGAGGTGAAATATCCTTCCTCTGAGTAGCATCATGCAGGCCTGGCAGGGACCTCGGCTGTCTACACCGCTGAGAGCTGAGTTCCAGGAAACGAGATCTGTCGGAGGCAAAGGGGAACCTGGCTTTATGTTCTTGAGCCCTGCGGTCACTGTGGTTTGGATGCTTTGGTTCAGGGCCAAGGAGCAGGAAGGCAGCTTGAATCTCTCTCTCTCTCTTTTTTTTTGCTTTGCCTTTTTTTCCACATCTGAATCCCAGAAAGTGACTTCCCGTTTTGAGGCTCCACATGGCAGGGTGCACGTGGCTCATCTTGTCTGGCATGTATTGGATCAGGCCACGCATACTCATGCCTCGATTATTCTTTAGTAGTGTTCAGCATTTCAAATAGGCCCGTGCATCTCAGCTCCACAACAGCTGGAAGTTTTCAGGGCTCCCTGAAGGAGATGAAGCCCCCGTTCTTGGTCCTGTAATGGAGATGGGGCAGTCCGAGCCAGTAGGTGTTTTGCAAAATCTCATCCGTGCTTAAGCGTCAGGTCTTAAGTTCACAGGACTGCTTCCTCCCTGCCTTCCCCTTTGCAAGCATTTTGAATGACCTGGTGATATTACCAGAGGAGCATGAGGCCAGAGATCAATGGACCAGAACTAGCGTGCCAGAAGTTAAGCTTGCCTGGTGCTCAAAGCAATAATTCAGCCCATTGCACCATTTGGCCCTGACATCAGGGGAATGGGGTGACTGACAAGAGCAAGCTTGGCTATGAGCATGGCCACCTCCACCACCTCCTGGGAGTCTGGGACCCTCCTGTATCACCTTTAGGCCTTCATTGTCCTGATCCTAAAAATGACCTGACCAGACTGAGCCAGGGAGAGGGTCAGCCCCACCTCTGTCGGCTTCTGCCAGTCCTTGTTACCACTGGAATGTGAGACTTGGATCCATCCTGTCACCTCCTCCCTTGTCTGCTTTTCCTTCCCAACTTATTTCTTGACCTCCAGAGGTCCCTTCCAGCCCCAAATTTCCCTAATTCTCTGATTTTTCTTTGGTATTTCTAGTGGAATAAGAAATATGCAAAAAGGTTCTATTTTAGGTGACCGGGCCCTGCCTCATATGCAAAAAGGTTCTCCTTTACGTGACCAGGACTATCTTTTTCAGTAGTGCCGTGACCCTGGAATCAGAAATGCGGCTGAAACTCAGCGTCTATGATGGCATGATGCCAGTACAGGTTTGCACGGTCTTGAAGGGGCTGTAGCTGTCTTTCTGCAGCCGTGACAGTCAGCACTAGAAGCAGAAGCTGAATTTGCTATCCTTGCTGTTCTTTTCTTCTCCTTTATCTTGTTGTGTCCTCAAGGAAACGTGGTTGGACTTCAACAGCAGGATTAACAACCATGGCTCCAGCCCTTCTCCACTCACCCTTCCCCTCTTCGGCAGAAAGGACATGTAGTACCGTTGTCAAGCTTATCTAAAAATTCGGCCTCAGGGATGAGAGGTGGGAAGGGCTCTTCACAAAAGGCTCTCTAAAGCGGGTGGGAGTGGGCCTAAGGGGCATGGTTCAGATAGAAGCCTTCCCTCACACTCTGCGTTTCAAAATTTAGCTTTTATTTTTGTCTTTTCTGGTCTCTTTACTAAAAGGTTAACACACTTTGTGAACAGTGACTTGGCCATGGGACTCAGCTGGCTGTGGTTGCTAGTCTGAACCACGGACCTTGCTTCAAGGTGTGCATTATTTAAGTTAATGCAGTGTGTTCCTGTGTTTCAGGTGTTCAGCAGGTCCAAAAATCTGCATCAGCACAAGGTCTCGATGGGGCTGGGGTGTTGGTTCGGATGGTCCTTCTTGCTCTCTCCCGTAGGTGCTCGGCGGGCCAGCATGCCTTTGTTCCTAATGTGTGAGCAACGCAGGAAGTAGCAGCCAGTCCCTGGCACTTGTTCCCGGAGCGATGTCTGCTACCAGGGGAAATGGAGAGCACTGGAAGTCCTTGGAGTCTGTGGGGATCAGCCGGAAGGAGCTGGCGCTGGCTGAGGCCCTGCAAATGGAGTATGATGCCCTGTCTCGCCTGAGGCAGGACAAGGAGGAGAGCCAGGCCAAGCAAAACACCGACCGGCCCCTCATTTCCTGGGACGGTCCAGATCTGGATTACAACAAGCCGTCCGTCAGGAACGACTGCAACAGCATCAAGATCATGCGAGGTCTCTCCGGCTCGGACCCCACCCTCAATTACAACTCCCTTGCAGTCCAGGGGAGCTCGAGACCTCTGGGCACCCACAATACTACCTCATCCAGCCCACTGCCCAAGCCAGATAGCCAGCCTTGGCTGAAGGGGCCGCTCTCCAGTGACTACCTATATATCTTTGAAAGTTCGGAGGGAGACTTCCTCCCTGAGCCGCTCAATGGGACCTCGCACCACGATGGCAGTGGCAGCTCCCCCAAGAAGCTCTCGCCTCCTCCACTGCCCCCTCGCATCTCCATCTGGAGCTCTTCAGAGGTGAACCACTCCTCCTTTAAGGGCTCCCCACCGTCCTACAAAGGGTCCCAGCCCAACGACATCAATATGTTCTCCTCGGCCCATGAGCAGGCTGACCGGAAGCTGCTGGGCCGCAGGATCTCGGAGGAAGACCCGTATGGCCTGGTGGACTATGACGGCATCAACGATGCCATCACCTGCCTCAATCTGAAGTCTACCTACGATGCAGCGCTGCTGAGGGAGGCGACCTGGGGCTGGAAGGAAGGCAGGAGCTTCTTTGAGAAGGAGACCACTGGGAAGCCAGTGGCACGGAGCAAGACCATGCCGCCCCAGGTCCCACCCAGGACCTACGTCTCCAGGTTCGGCAACCGGAAGAACGTGACGCCCAACAAGAACCGCAGGATCTCGGTGGATCCGGTAAGAAGCTTTCTTTTTTTTTTCCTCACCCTCATCAGGGGCTGGGGATGAGGGGAGTGGGTGATACACCCTACCATCACCATGCCCAGGTGGCTGCTTCTCATCCTCAACCACTCGCCCCCTGAGCTAGACCCTCCAGGGCTCAGTTGAGAAGGGGTTGCCCCTCTTTTAGGAGCTTTGCTCCGTATCCTCCCCCGACCCATAGCTAGCTCACTGAGGGATGGGCCGTGCTTGCGCTACACGAGAAAGGCATCAGTAGACGAATCGGGCAGAGATGTTGGGCACAGAGCAGGATGGGAGGAGGGGGTGGCGGGGCTCTACAGTGCTCTGTTTGGAGGAGAGGTGGCACTGGCTCCAAAATGCAGAGTTCACGAGGGTTTGTAAAGCAATGCTGTGTAAAGCCGCTGCGCTGAGCGTGAGACCCGGCTTGCTGGCAGCCAGCTGGGTTATGTGGGGGTAGTGGCAATGAGGGAGAGGCAGGGAAGCAACCAGTGCTGGGTAAACTAGGATGTGGGTTTGCACTGAGGCAAGTACCTGACATGTTGGCCGAGGGGGGGGGTGTGTGTGTGTGTACATCTCCTTTCTCCCATCGACAGCAGGGGAATCGTGATTGCTCCGGCCAGTTTGCTGGGTTTCCTTTGCTCCCCAGTGCACCATCACGTGTCTCAGTTAGGGGCATCTGTGCCCTGACTTAGTCACCACCCCCTGGGGGCTTTAATGGGATCACTTTCCTGAAGGCACCACCACCCCAAGGGTGTTGGATCACTAGGCCATGGCCCTAAGCCCTCTGGAGGGGAGCATCAGCCACGCCGGAGGCAGCAGGGGAAGTGGGGGGAAGAAATGCAAATCCTGTCCCAGCCCAGTCAGCAGCTGGTTGTGATCTTGCTGCAAAACAAGCAGCCTGCACGCCAGAGACCTCGTGCTCGCTCCTCTCTCTTCTCATTGTCTCTCCCCTCCATTTGGGCTCCACCCCAGGCCTGGCTGCACTTCTTGGGGGGCAATCGCAGCCGCCAAGTGCTTACATCGAGCGCTTAACTGAGACGAGGTCTTAAGGCCGCCTGCCCTCCAATCTGCCTTTGTGCGGAAGCCCTCCTGTTCGCTCACCTCTCTGCAGCAGCTGTTGCTGGCATGGCGCTGTAATGCTGGGAAGTGTCTCTGGCGCTTGCAGCAGTTCAGAGCACGGAGGAGCCTCCGGCACGGTGCTGCACGCGTGCCATTTGAGGTCTGCTGACCTAGGGACACACGTGACTTCTGAGCTCCCTTCCCCATCAAGCCACCTCCACCACCAAATGAGCTAATAGTAATGAACCTTTCCCTCTCTGGGGCTCCGCACATTGGGATCTTTATTCTAGCAAAAAGGGCCAGGGTGTCTTTACCTGCTGTGGCCTGTCAGTTCAGAACTGCCCTCTCCTGCCTCTGGTCGCTAGGACTCAGACTTGCGATGCCTTTTCAAACCTGCCCAAACTCAGTCCTTATTGATCGGCTCTGACCGCACGACACTCAAACCTCCAAGCGAGCTGTGAGCCCTGTGCTAAGCGAGCTTTGAGGGTGCTCAAAGTGAGCCCGGCACTAAGTCTGATGAGCCCCCACTCCCCAGCCCGTTGTGACACACGAGCTTCCTCAAGCACTGGCTCAAGAGCGTGCAACAGCATGTGCTATTTATAAGGACCAGGCTAAGGTCCAAGCTAAAGGTGGTGTCCAGCAGTAGCTTTCCCGGCTCAGGACCGAAGCTGCATTTCCAGCCCTGACGGTTGTCTCTGGCTTCTCCCGGCAACAATGCCAAGAGCTCATGAAACATCACAAGATCCTCCGGAAAGAGCTGTGAGTCTCCTTCTGAAGAGCAGCGTGAGCTTTCCTGTTAGGAGTGTAATATCCTTTTGCAGCCAAGTTTGCGAGTTTTTCTTCTGCGACACCCCCCTTAGAAAAGCTATTTTGGGCCATGTTGCAGCACTGGCCTGGCTGAACTCCTGCTTGGAGGAGAGGGACAGAGTCCCTCCGCCGGTGGGGAGCTGCCACCCCAGCACATGGCACTGACAGCTCCTCGGGGAGCGCGTGCGTGCAGGCGTGCGTGGGGAGGAAGCCCTCTTGGATCTGATGGAGGTGCTCGTGCCTCCAGGAGGAGAAGGATCTAGAGACAAGTGAGGTCGAATTCCCAGCTCAGCCCTGCCGGACCCCTCTCCCTGGTCAGCGGAAGATGCAGCCGGGGGCCTCCGGCAAGGGTTACGTAAGTCACTCTTTCCTCGGTGCCAGCAACTAATTAGAAAGAAGCATTAAAATTGTCCTTAGCGGCTGCTGTGTTCTCTCCCTTTTTGCCTCTGCTGTTTGCTATTCTGCGGGTTAATTGGGCTGACAGTGGGAGCATTGTCTGCTCAGAAAGAGTGATTGAGGCGCTGAGACCACCCCCCCTTGCACACCCACTCTCTCTCTGTCTCTCACACACACACACACACACACACACGCACACTCTGAGCCTGGCGCTCCGAGGGCTGCTGCGTGGCACTCAGGAAAGAGGGGAAGGGGGACGGGGAACGGTGGCTGGGAGCGAAACCCAGCGGGTGCTCATTTTGTTTTTTCCGTAGAAACTCAGAAATGGCGGCATCTCTGCCTTGCTCTCGGTGGGCTTCTATTTCCACGGGGCCGTGTGGGCCAGGGGGAAGGGCTGTGTCTCAGATGCGCAGAGATTCAGGGTCTGTTTCTGGCACTGACTTGCTGTCTGACCTTGGGCAAGGCCTCTCGTCCTCCATTGTTTGTCCTCCCTGCGTAAGCAGGGAAGGACTCTTTCCACTTTGTGTATATGCAGGTCCTAGCACCCTTGGGCCCTGACTGCAAGCAGTTCTGGAATATAATTAGTACTAGTGCATGGTTGAATAGTCTCTACAAGGGAAGGGGTGGATGCGTCGTGGCTGGGGTCTTGTGGAAGGGGCTTGCCAGCATGCTGGAAAATGAACCGCAAGAAATGGTCTGCTGTGGACCAGCTGGGACCTGCTATAATGCTTCTCCAGCTCTGCTGCCGCTGTCTCTGAGTCTCCCTCCTTTCTGTCTTCGTGTCCACTCGGGGGTGGAAAGTACTGCAAGGCTGCTCCCAGCAGCTGTAGGCGTTGCATTGGTGCGGAGGCTGGGCTGCATTGCATGGTTTGCATAGCTGGACTCCGAAGCCAAGCCCAGAGCAGATTTTCAGGTGTGTGGAGCAGGGTTTGATGCCCCGGGGAAGGTAGAGGTAACTGGCTATCTGCCAAGTGTTCTGCCCTTCCCCTTGCCGTGGTGGACAAACCCACCCCTGCAGCTGCAGACAGCGTGGTCTCGACCTTGTTTTAATGGTAGCAGATAGTATCTCAGCTCATTAGCTGGATTGCTGGGGTGCCGTACTACAGCAGCTGAGCACCCCCCGGGAACCCTGTGGGATTCCTCAGCTGCTGCCTGCAGGCAGCTCCCCCCTAGTGATGCAGAGGGATTTTCAAGGGGCTGAGGATCCGCTCCCCCGGGTACAATCTATATAAAGAACATTACTCGCTATGGAAGAAGCTGGGGGAGATGCTCCATGTGCTGCTTGGTAATCACATCCTGAATTCCCTCCAGCTGAGCGTCCCAGAGCTCATTGGTGGAGAAGGGCCTGTGGCTGAGCTAAAAAACTGGGATTCCTGAGCTCAGCTCTGCCACTGACTTACTAGCATGGCCATCTCTGCCAAGTCTTGCAGGTTTGCACTCCCAAGTGTCTGCGTCTTTGGAGGCAGCTTAGAAGTTCTTCCTGACCCCTCGAGTTAAGGGATGAAGCCTGCGGGTCAGAGGATGCCCGCTGTCCTCAGCAGTGTTGGATCAGATGTGTGCATGTCTCATCCTTTCTTTTTATGCCATTGAAGTTTTCAGTCTTCAGCGTTATCTTGCAGCAGTGAGTTCCACAACTAGCCGCTATTAGAGCGGGTAGAGAAACACTGCCTGTGTTGCAAGGAAAACGTAGAACACCACGAACAATTTGCATTTCATTCACAAATTCTGCAGCTTCTGTTTTTCTCCCAATAAAACAAAAACTGAACCTTTTTCTGTTTTTCACCTCCCTCCTTCTCCAGTTTGCTTTCCCTTCCCCCCCAGTTTTCTAATAGAAACAAAGGCAATTGACTCAGAGCCTTTCAAACCTGTAGGAAATGCTCATTTTTTCGTGGGAAAAAAAAAATTCTTTTGAGAGAGACATTTAAGTTGAAAGAAAAATTTCTTAGCTCTACCCACTGGCTTCTCATTGGCCTGCTGCTTTTTATTTTGTTAAGGGATTTCTCTTAATTTTCGCCTATAAGGGACATGCGCAGAGTGGAACATGCCCCAGTAGCAGGGGAGGTAACAGCACCCACCTTGGGTCCAGCTGTCTCATAATGCCCTGGGAAAACAAGCACAGTGAGCTGTGGTGCTATGAACTATGGGACACGCAGCCAGAAGTCTGTCTCGCATGTGAGCTGTGGTTATTGGTGGGGATATGGGCTGTAGCACCAGTGTAGAATAAGACACTAATCCAGTGGTCATGCTCTGCCATGCATGGTGGCTGTGTGGCATTCACCCAACCTGGGTTTAGAGTCCAGTGAAGACACAGGGGGAAGTGGGACTGCTGTCTTGTCCTGCCCTTGTCCCGTATGCGGTAGGGTTGTGTCCCATGGGCAGCTTTGCAGCTGCGGTGTGCAGGAGGGGCTGGAGGAGATGGTGTTGTAGACCCTTTAGGATAAATGTTGCCTCTGAACCCAGGGGACTGGACTCGCTGGCATGGCAGTTCCTATCAGAGGCATTTCACTGGAAATTGGTGCCGTTGCACAGCATGGGGTCTTCTGTTTGTGAGAGCTTCATTGCTACTCTCTGTCCCTCTTTCTTTGCTAGGTCGCCTCCTGCCCGCACTCCTTGGCCAACGGCTATGAACTGTTTGAGGTCTCCGAGGAGAGGGATGAAGAGGTGGCTGCCTTCTGCCACATGCTGGATGTGTAAGTGCCCCGTTGGGATTGGAGAGCGCTCACACCACTTCTCCGGGGTTTCTTGTTGGCCAGCCTGTCTGGTCGAACAGGGGCTTGAGGGTGTCTCAGTGCAGCAGTGGCTGGAACAGCCTGGGGATTTAATTACTGAAGTTTAATTAATGCAGCCAATGAAAGAAGTGTCCTTTGTTGTCTCCACTATTTGCGCTGCTTTGTGGCTGTGCAATGTCACCAGGGGAAGGAGTCATTCCCATGGAGCTAGCAGTGAGGAGACAAACCCATTTCTCTTGGACCTTGACTCAACTCAGTGCCAAGGAGCTCTGGGGAGGATGGGGGAGGCCATGCCTTGTTGGCATTTGAAGGTTATAAATAGAGGCATCCAGGGAGACAAAATAAGGATGCTCCTTTCAGCCCACTGGCAGGATATCAAGCTGGGAGAGCTTCTCAGAGGGGCAGAAAGGGGAGACACTAAGGGTCTTGAGAGAGTCTGGGCTCTGCTCCATCACAAGCGATGTTGGGATGAGGTTGGGCAAGGCGGGGATTAGTCCACACAGGATGTTCCACATGTAAAAAGCAGCCTGCAGGGAGGCACAGAGGCTCATGGGGAAGTGGACACAACAGCGAAGGCAGCTGGTATCTGGGCTAGAGAAAGGATGGAGTCCAAGACAACACTCCTGCTGTGAGCATGAGTGCTGGGGAAGAGGGAGGTGCTGCTGTCGGGGGCAGGGGGTGGGAGGGGGAGGACGAGGCTGGTGGCCAAGAGTTAAGAAGCTCAGGTGGGGTCCCTCAAGCTCTGTCTGGCAAGGAAACACCATGGAGCCAGGCTGAGGTGTGGAGGGAGACAGGTGGAGGGATAGATCTGTGCTTCACTGGTGTTGAGGCCATGTGAGTGGATCAGATCACTTGGAGCTTGGGTGTAAAGACAGGAGGAGCCAGGGGCAAGTCTTTCCAACACTGTAGGGGTACAGCCCTTTGTGGGCTGGGTGCAGCTGGGCATCCCTGATTCCTGCTCCTTCCCTCTCTCATCCTTTCTGCAGCTTGAGGTCTGGCTACAGCATCAAGGACTACTCCCTCACCGGCTACGTCTGGAGCGCCGTCAACTTCAGCCCTGAGCACCTGGGCCATGGCATCAGCCTGAAGGTGACCGTGGTGTACGACAGCCTCCAGGAGCCACTCACCTTCACTTGTGACTGTAAGTCTCCTCTCGGGTGGTAAATGCCTGTGCTTTCCTCCCCCGTGTCTGCCTGTGAAACCAGCCTCCTTCGGGCCATGGGAGAGCCCCACCTCCTCAGGTCACCATGACCATGCAAGTGCCTGGCTTCTGCCAGCTCGGCTCGGTGCAGCAGTGGCTCCTCTCCTAGAAGACGGCTGCCACGTTATAAGGTGTAGCGAGTCTCGATCACTGATGCTCTGTGGTCTGATGCTCACTCTGCTGGTTTTGCTCCCTCCCTGCCCTGCAGGCTCCTCCACGGTGGATCTGCTCATCTACCAGACTTTGTGCTACACCCACGATGAGCTGCATGACATCGATGTAGACAACTTTGTACTCAAGCTCTGCGGCCTGGAGGAGTTCTTGCAAAAGTGAGTTGCCTGAGTGGTGGCCAGCTGGTTGTACACGGGGCCCCAGCCAGCCTGCCCTGGCAGGCCTGGGGCATCCAAGCCCTGCTGGGGTTGAGGGAGCTGGGGGTGCTGGAGAGATGAGGACCCTCTGGTGTGCTGCAGTGGGAGAAGAGGAGGCCCTGAGTCTCCATCTTATCTTCCTTCTTGCATTCTTCTTTCTTTCTCCTTTGCACATTCTCATGGACAGTCCTACTGCGGCCTCCAGCCCACCAACCCCCAGTGCTGTGCTGTGCCCAGGAGATGAGCTGTTTCCAGTAGTTTGGTCATTTCTCTTAATCTGCTCATGCCTCCAAACGGCCTGGCACCCAAGGGGTTTCTGTTGAAGGCATCCGTAGTGACCAGTGACTGGGTTAAGTGGACACAAGTTTGAACCCCCCCGAGCCACTCCATTTACTGCCTCCTGACATCAGAGAGAGAGGCACTGGGAAGCCCCGGTCTCCTGCTGCAGACTATAAGCAACCCCAAGCGACCCCATGTGCCCAGGAGCTTGGAGAGAGCCGTGACTATGAAAGAGCGCCCAAAATAAGCTCTTTAGAAAAATAATATAAGCAACAAAGCTACTTAGGGAAGTGGCTGAGGCAGACAGTCAAGTTGAGCTTAATTTTCAGTGTCTGTTTTTAAGTGGCTGGGGAAAGCTGCCAGCTGGGGCCAGCTGATGGGAGGTAAGGTTTGGTGTATGGGCAGAGCTGGGGGAAAATGTTGAAAAATATTTGGGTTTTGTTAAATTTTGTGCCTGTTTAGAAGGATAGAATATCATTTCTATCATTTCTGTTCTTGCTTTTAGTTTGGTACAACCAGGAGTGTGTTGGTGCGTCCTTCCCACTGGTGGGAAACCAAAATGTGTCGCATAACATACATCTTTGTCTGTTCTGGGTGTAAAAGAGCAGTCCTTTTTCACTGCAGGTGGGGAATATCAGTCCAGTATTTTCTTGGCAAGTGGGACAGCTGAAATGGTACCGATGGGGCAGGGGTAAAGGGGAGGAGACAAGAGACAAGGAGAAGAAAGTCACTGCCCCAAAGAGTCTGCAATCCTATCTTTTTCCCCTGTTTATTGTACAGCCCTTAGCACAAGAAGAGCCTGGTCCAGGACTGCAGCTCTCAGATGGTATTGCAGTACAAACACCGCTGAAAATCCTAGGCTGAAAGGTGCCAAGGAGCTAGGCCCCATCTGCACCCACAGGACAGCTGGGATTGCAAGATTGCCCGTGCTGCCCTGTTGGGTCCGGTGGGACCATGTGTCTGGGGGAAAGAGATTTGGGCTGGTTTCTGGCTCATTCTTGCAGCATTGCTTCTCCTGGAGCTACTAGTTCATGCCAGTAATGTGGAGACAGGCTCAGGGAATCAGTCCCCCTTACTGATTTCACTGAGGCCACAAAGCTGTCTTCGGCCACTACCAAGCCATACTGGATTTCAAGCAGTGAATATGAGTGACAGGCTTCTGGCCTTGATACCAGCTCAGGTGGTCTCCCACATCCACCATTTTTCCATCTATCATTTTGATAAGTGAGTCCACCCCGGTGCAGCTATTCAAATGCAATCTTATGTTGGAAGCGAATGGACAAGCCTCTTCCTTGGCTGGTCATCAGGCAGTCGGGAGCTCTGTGTGCACTGTGTTACTAGCAACTGCAGAACATACAGGACCAGTGGCATGCTCATGGGCCAGCTCCTGAGGTCTTGTGGCTTGTCAGTCACGACCAGTAAGTCCCAGGAGAGTTGCTGGTGAAGGTGGGATTTTGATGATAGGCAGACAAGGTTCTTTGGGTAAATCCAATATCTTTTATTAGACTAACTCAAATAGTTGGAAAACTTCTTCTTAGCAAGCGTTTGGGTACAAACACCCTTCGTCAGGCTGAGGAAGCATCTACGGATGGTCTGTGCCCTTCCTGGATTGAGTGGTAAAGCAGCAGGACTATGAAAATGGCTTTAGTTTGGTCTCTTAAGATGTGTGGCCAGTAATGAAGACTGAGAATATGAGTTGGCAGGTGAAAAGCTAAATACGACTGTGGCTTGGCTGTCAGTGAGCAGAGCTCGAAACTGCTTGGAGCCCTTTGCTGAGGTTGGTTTGGAACAAGGACGAGGCTCGGTCCACGGGGCTACGTCTCCCAGATTAGTTTCAGTTTTCCAGCACAGAAGGCCATAAAAGCTTGGTATGTCTCCGGGCTGTTTCCTGTTCCTAGGCAGCCCTGGCAGGGTGTACCGTAGCTCCAACCACAGGCTGGCTTTCTCCACCATAATGGGAGGAAGAGCCTGTAGGTCGATAGTTTTGATATGTAAGCATCAGGCTTGGCAGCACTAGACAGCAAAACCAGAGGATCTAACCTCAGCCTTCCCAGGTGGAAGAATTACGTGCCATGCTGGTCCTCATCTGCTGAATATGGGCATTAACAACTGCCCGGTGTTTCTTGTAAGAGCAGGGACTCTGCCTAATGCTTTGGTCCATACCTCCCTTCCTTGCTGCTTTGCATTGCCTTCAGCCCAGACGTGGCTGGGAGAGGAAGCGATTTTCTGTGGAGAACCTTGCTGTAAAGCACTTGAGGAGGAAAGGGTCCAAATTCGTAGCAGTAAAGCATACCTAATGCATGGACACAGATGGCATTTCCTGGTAATTATGTATAATGAGCCAGAGCCAGTGGCTGGAAAACTGTACTGAGGGTCTGCTCCCATTTCTTGACTTCAGTCACCACAGGATTAGGCTTGCAAGGGGTAGCTGGGACTCCCCTTGTGCAAGGGGGAATCTCTTGGGTGGCTTTATGGCAAGCCCCACTCCTCACCCACCGCATAAAGGGGCATGACCAAGGCAAGCGCTGCATGGAGCTCTGGGATTATGCGGGGGATGACACTCCAGCCCTTTAAAACCCCACCTTTCTCCACATCTGCATGGAGCCCGCGCGTCATGGAAGAGGCAGCCCGAGACCTTCCGAACTCCTCGTATTATAGATGCACATAAGTGCTTCAGCCTCTATGACCTATATAGCAGAGCTGCTGCTGCTGCAGACACCCAGCCAGAGGGTGAGCTGAGCCAGCCTGGAGGGGAAGGTTTCTGCAGGAGGAGAAGGGCAAGGACGTTCCAAGCGCCGAGCCTGGGGGATCCAGACGAGCTCCAAATTCGTCTCCAGGTTTGGGGGTTGGTCGTAGTGTTGCTGCCACCGTCAGCAGAAAAAATGCCTCTCTTTTCTTTTACATGTAATCAACCATAACCAGAAACAGCCTCCCTCGGAAAAAGTAATTTATATCAGATGAGGAAATAATGCTCCAGACTTGTCATTTGTAGGCACTTTCTCTTTCTCCTGTGAGGCGCAGGCACTATGGTTACCAGGAGGGAAGGATTGCTCTTTTCTCCTCTGTGCAGCCGCGATTGCAAACTGTTTGTCTGGGGGGCTGCGGAGAAGGGAAATGCCACAAATGTTTCCCAAGCACATGGAGCATGTGGTAGCATCATTGCTTTTCTGGAGGGAGGAGGATGGTCTGGGGATGAAGGGGTGCATCCAGGCTGTGGGGGAGCTGGCTTCCCTTCCTGGTCTTTCTGGGCGACTCCCTTCATCTCTCTGGGCCTTAGCGCTGAGAAACAGGTTCTCACCATTTCTTTCATCCACCCTCTTATCTTGTCAGGGGAGAGACTTTCTCTTACTCTGCCCATGTGTGGGGTCCTGCTTGTGGCTGAGCATCTAGCTGCTACCGTCCATCAAAGACTGTCCCTGGTGCAGTGCGATGGCCCTGCTCCCCATACCTCATGCCAAGATGGCATGTCCTTGGGCACATGGACAGAGCGTGTTGGGCACAGGGCAGAGACAGCCCCTGCGTCTCCTCCTCCTTGCTGGCCCATCCGCACAGCCGGTGCCTTGAGGAACTGCAGTGGGACTGCTCTGCTGGTCTCCCTAGTGCCCTCCGATGACCTTGCATGAATAAAGCCCTTGGGTTTCTGACCGTTTCTTCCCCCCTTCCTTCCCAAAATGGAGCCACTGCTGGGGGGGCCAGAAACCTCCTGTCGTGGCTGGGAGGGCTGCTGAACTCTCAGAAAACCCCAGGAGCTAGCACGTGGCTTCCTGCGGTCTGTGGGTTTGCTTCTCTCACCCATACCCAGTGTGATGCTGGGGCAAGAATCAGCCAAAGGCCTGGACACTTCTGCCCCCTCCTCGGAGTCTCGCCCTCCCCTCCGACCCTGAAAAGCACCCAGTGGTGCTCCAGCAGCTAAGCTGGTTCCCGTGGCTGCAGGTCAGGATACAGGCTCTGCTGAGATAAGAGCCAGCTGTTCCTGCTGGAGCAGCCCATGGAGGGTAGGGCTTCCTGCTGCAGCTTCCCCCGCTCCTGCATTGTTCCTCTGCTGGAGGAGCTGCCTGCCCAGAGGGCAGGGCCTGGGGTCAGGCTGGGTGCCCAGGCCCGGATGGCAGTGGTGTGCAAGTGCCTTCTGATAAGCTCCTTGCCTTGCTCGGTCCATGCCCATGCTGCCCTACTCCCTGTCATTCCCTTGTATCCTGCCATATCACATGCGTCCTGCCAGGGAGCTTGAAAATGTTCAGGCTCCATTTCCCCATTTTCTCCCCATTCTTCCCCCCCCCCCCGGCACCAGTGCTCTGCATTTTGTGTGACCAGTGAGACCTGATTTGGTTTATTGTCTGCTGCAGCTGAGAGGAGGAGCTGCTGCATCCGAACTGCCTCCAGGGCACATTAGCTCCTGCCATTGCCAGACAGATCTCTTCAGCCTGACCTGGCAGACCTCGATCACATCTAAGATTTATCTTGACTTAGTCTGCAATACTCTGACTCCCCCGCAAAGGACTGATTTTTAAGTCCCTGCACAGCAGTGTCCTGTGGATGCCAGTGTATCCTAGTGGCTGCCCTTTCCTCCTAGATTACAGCTGCCTTTTAATCAGAACCACTGGTAGGGCTACCTTGTCTGGGTCCTGATGCCTCTCTCTGCATGCATTGCTCTGGGCAGCTCTCCATTGCACCCTTCCAGCCTGGCACACAGAGTTGAGCTCTGCCATTCAGCAGTGCAGGGGCAGAAGGGGACACCTCCCTCCTAATAACTCTTTTTCCAGCATCCCTTTAATTTACTAACAAATCCCCATTTTACAGATGGGGAAACTGAAGCTCTGCAGCAGGGAGTGACAGGGTTAAAACTCAGGCATCCTGGCTCCCATGCTCTGCTCCAATAGATACAAGCCCTAAGATGCAGTGGAGGCCTTGAATTTCCAGCCTGTGCCCCAGGGAGGAGCGGGGCCTTGTGTCACAGCTGTTGTGTTGTCTCCATCCCTGCAGCAAGCATGCCTTGGGCAGCCATGAGTACATCCAGCACTGCAGGAAGTTTGATGTTGACATCCGGCTGCAGCTGATGAAGAGGAAGGCCGTGCGCAGTGACCTGGCCAGGACGGTGAGCCGTGCTCTCGAGGGGAAGCCCAGAGTGTCCTGAACAGCCCGTTGTCAGGACAGGTGGGCAGGGGGTGAGACCAGGCCTGTTCTTCCCACTCCCAATATGCAGCTACCGTTGCTGAAGAGAGGTGGTAGGCCCCCTACTCCATGCCTTTTCCCTTGCAGCCAGGACTTGCCTTGCTTGGTCCAGCAAACCACCCTGGAGCTCTTCCAAAAGCTCTCCTTCCAGAGTGAGCTGCTAAGTGTGGCTGTATAGTGAAGCCGTGGGGGTTCAGGATGGGATCTACCTAGTCCATGTCCCCCACAAAGGTGCAGTTCAGGACCTGGATCTATTCCCCAGGATGCTGCAAGCATTCACAAGGTGATGGCATTCCCACCTGGTCCCCAGGGAGACCATTCAGTGCTAGGAAACCTTTCCTGATTACCTTCAACAGGAGGTGCCCTTTGTGTTCGTACTGCTCTAGAGACTCCAGCATTGGATCCTTGTAACTCCCAGGAAGCCCGGCACTGCCTACGTGCCCAGTAAGACCCATGGCCCCTGCCCCAAAGCGATGACTGCCAGGGGTCCTCTTCCATCTCCAGAACTGAGCATGTGGATCTGCTCCTGCCCCAGCCCAACAAGTGCAGGGAGGTGGCAGGGTATGGATGCTGCATTCCTCAGGGCGCATAAGGACTGGGCAGTGGGACATGGTTCCCTAGGGGTCTCAAGTCAGATGCATCACCAGGTAGCACTCAAGGTTTCCCCTGGGCTAAGGAACAAGGAGCTGAATGGCTTTTCCTGAAAGTTACTCATGGGCTGTTGGTGGTGCTGGCCGGTCCCCCTTGGAAGCCAGAAATCTAGGAGACGCTTCCCAGTAGGCCTGAATTAGCAGCTGAGACTCTCAAAGACCCCTGAGGGCTTCCAAATTGCTGATCCATTGAAGGTGCTGGCTGAGGGCTGCAGATCGCTCCAACAGGTAGAGCCAGTGTCCTCGGCACCTGAACAGGCCTCTTCCTTGCGCAGGTGAACGATGACCAGAGCCCTTCCACGCTCAACCACTACATTCACCTTCAAGAGAGGCCGATCAAGCAGACCATCAGCAGGTGAGGACATGTGGTGGTGGGAGGATGGGGCCCATACACCTTGCTTTGGAAAGGGGCTGCTGTCACTTCTGGGGCTGTTGGAGCCTCTTCAGGACCTTTTCAGGCAAGAGGCATGGGCCCTAGAGCAGCGATGTCTGTGCCTACCTGCGTCTCCTCTCTTGCTCCTTCTCCCCATGCTGAGCTCTGTCACCTCATCCAACAGGCAGGCCCTGAGTCTCCTCTTCGACACCTTCCACAATGAGGTGGACACCTTCCTGGCAGCTGAGGTGAGTGCAACCCATCTCCATCCATCGGGGAGGGAGTCGCAGCTCTTCAGGGGCAGAACCCCAGCCTTGCTACATGTCCACACCGCTACAGAGAACAGACCCTTGGCCCTGGGGACGGGTGTGTCCGGGGTCATGCACACAGGACCTCCACCAACTTAACACAGCTGCTTAAAAACTGTTTTAGGCAAGCCATAGTGTGAAGGCAATCGCATGGTATTCTGGCTGGCTTCTAGACGTGCATTTGTGGATTTGTCTATGTGAGAAGGTGGCACCGGTTCTATCATTTTTAAACCGGTCTCATTGAGTTGGGCTAAGAGGCTCTGCAGACACCTGGTTTGGTTTTAACATGGCATATATGGCTCTGAAACTGAGCTTGGAGTGTGCAGCATGGCAGCAGCGGCCAATGTGGTTTGATGCCTCTAGATAAACCTTCTATATGTGGACTCTACACGGGGCCAGATTAACACATAGGCAAACTAGGCACATGCCCAGGGCGCTAAGTGAAGAAAGGGCCCAGTTGTGCTTATTTTACGTATTATAATTATTGATTGAAAAAAAAGTAGGGACCCATGAGTTTGTTTGCCTAGGACCCAGTAAAGGGTTAATCCAATGCTGACCCTACATGTGGGGGTTATTAGCTGCCCCACGCTCAGTCTTAGCAGTCATGGCAATTTTTTACATGACGGTACTTTTATGCCTGGATCTCAAAGCACCCTTTGGGTCCGGGCCCCTGTGTATGAGGAAGAAGGAACGGGTCTCAGAGGTCCTGACCACCGTGTCCTCTACTCTTGCCACGAAGGAACCCTGATTCCTGTAATAGAGACTCACTGGGATTTCCCTTCTTGGTTAATTGCTGCCTTGGTTGAGACCCAGCTCTTGGCCCGGAGCCCGTGGAGCCAACGAGCCTCTTTGTTTTTGCTGTGGCTGGGCACACCTGTAAAGGGAGAGCTGGCCAGAACCTGAGCTGAAACTTCCCTTCCCCCTTTCCCCATGCACTTGGCCTCCCATTTCCTTGTTCCAGGCAGGGATCTGTCATCAGAGGCAAACTTCACCAGCCTCACAGACAGAAAGCTGCAGCAGCTCTGCAAGAGCCAGTGCAGCAGAGATGTGGCTCTAGTCAGCTTCCTCCCTCCTCTCTGCTTGGCTCTCTGTGCCTCAGTTTCCCTGTCTGTAAAGTGAAGGAGCTGGAGCTGGCCCTCTGGCTGCAGTGGTTGTGAGGACAAGGCGGTAATGCTTGCAAAGTGCTTTGAGAGCCCCTAGAAAAGGAGCGGCAAAATGCGTATGACCCAAACGCAGAGCCAAGCCTTTGTGCTGGCTCTTAATATATTAAATACAGTCTTGAATTAATCCAGGCACTGGTCATTGGCTCTGCGTAGCTCCTGTCATCTTGGGCCAGGGAGAGTAAATGTCCCTGTTTTACGTATGGGAAAACTGAGGCATGGATTGAGGAGACCTGCCTGGCGGTGCCTGGTTGCAAGCTGGGTCTCCTGGGCCCCCACCCCATGCTCAGACTGTCTTGGCTTTGGCCAGTGTCCATAGTCTGTACAGCAGCCTCCCCTAGTGGCAACTCCAGGTCCATCATCTGGGGGCTACACATGGCAAAACGGCTCTGGCAACACGCCTGCCCGCAGAGCTCGGTGCAAGAGCCGCCACTGCCCTGGAAGCAAGTGCCCGTGTTTCCTCCAGCCTGCCCGTTCCACGACCCGCCCTGAGAACTGGGGCTCAGTCCCGCTGGTCCAGAATAGCCGCCAGGCCTTAGCGTCCAGGCCGATTTGCTGATGAGTTTGGCCTCCCTGCCCATCACGTGCTTGTGCTGGACAGAGCCGCAGACGCTGGTTGGTTTTGGCAGAGCCGCAGGCTTCCCCTGTGCCAAGCCCATGTGCAGAAGATGCCATGATTCTCCCTACTTGGCTGGAGCTCTGCCCACTCTGGGAAGAAACAAGGAGCTGGATGAATTGAGGGCAGGCAGATGCTGAGGAGAGGGGTCATTTTCTCCGGGGTGTCCTGGGGACGAGGGAAGGCAGGTGCTGGTGGGTACGTCCAAGACACTTCCCTCCTACTCCCAGCTGCTTGTATGTGGCTTGCTTTTGGTGCACACAGACTCCCCCTTTTCCCCTGCCCTGCCCGGGTCTGGGCTGTATCCACCTCGCAAGGCTGGAAGGCTTAGACAAACAGGGAGAAAAGGGCTTGGTGCCCAGCACTGGAGACAGCAGCCTTCCCCAAATGGCAGCTCCTGGTCTGCGGTGTGAGGTACCCCGCAACCTTCCCCTCTCTGCTTTGCGGGGCTGGAGCAGTATGAAACGATGGGACCCTCCTCTCCAGCTCTTCTGGGCAAGTCCAAGTGGGAAGCTCCCATTCCCTTTCTCCTGGACCAGACACATCCTCTGTCCTCATCTGTGCCCTGCACACCTTGCTGCCTGCGCTCCCCTGGCAGGGAGAGATGGGCTTCCCCAGGGTGTCAGAGGTGGCATTGGCTGGCCTCTGAGTGCGGTCAGTGCTGCATGGAGCAGCCCGGCCCAGGGCATCGCAGCCCCAGCAGGTCTCCTCCAGGCCCTGGCAAGCAGCGGGGTGGGTGGGAGGCCAGGCAACTGGGCTGGGTTGGTGCTCTGTGCATGGCTGTCTCAGACGGGAGCCTCTCCCTGCTGCCTCTCTCAGGGAGACGTCCAGCCGAAGGCGGAGCGAGTGATCCAGTCCGTCATGGCCATTTGCAATGCCCTGGCTGCTGTTGAGTCCCAGGAGATCACCCGTGCCCTGAACCAAATGCCGCCCTGTCCTTCTCGCATGCAGCCCAAAATTCAAAAGGTGAGATTTTCCAGCTGGGAGCTGAAGTCAAGGGGAGAGCTAAGCTGATCACGAGCGGTCTAGCGAGACGAGGACTGGTTTCTCCCAGAAGGTGCTGGGGGCCCCTCTGGACATCACAGCAGGTGCCAGTCTGTCTTGGGCACTAAGGGTGGGCTTGATTCAAGGGGCGTAATCTAACATCAGCGAGACTCCTTCACTGGCTAAGACCCAAGGATTTCCAGGCCAGAGAGTGCCCTGCGATCCCACGCAGTCCCGGTAGCCTGGGCCTGGGTACCTGCCCCATAGCCTCTGCTGCAGCCAGAGCTGGCCTTCCCTGCCTTGGAAGTGCTTGGTGTCCAGCTGCTTTCCAAGGGACTGATTGCTCACCCACGAAATCCTGGTGCCCTAGCTCCAGAGGGCACCTGGGCATGGTGATGGGTGCAACCAGAGGGAAAGCAGTGGGATTTTTCACCAGAGCCCATGCCCTCCCTGCCACCGCACCATGAGTACAGCTCCAGGGCAGCTGAGAGCAGGCAGTGCCTCCATGGTGTTACTCACTCCCAGCGCCCTGGTGCCAGGGAAGCTGGTTACATAAAGTCCCTGGCTTGGAGGATTGCTTCCAGCTGTGCCTGATGGTGCTGGACTCACCCTCCAATTTGCTCTGCTGGTTTCTTTTTCCTCTGCAGGATCCAAATGTCTTGGCTGTGAGGGAAAATCGAGGTAATTTTGCTTCTCCTCCTCCCGGTCTGCTGCTGAGCTCTTTCAAATCCTTCCCCACTGGGCAGACTTTTGCATTTGAAATTTGTATGTGTTCATTTTCAACAACAGCAAAAAAAGATTATGCCCCCCCCCAATTTTAGGGGGTTCTTTTCCTTGGTTTTGTGGGGTTTTGGTGTCTTTTGGGTTTTTTCCTTTTCCCTCCAAAGCACCCACATGCAGTGTGAGGTCATCTCCAAATGGCTTGAAGCCAGCCAGCAAATTTCATCCCCTGGAGAGATCATGAGAAGTGCTGGAGGGCTCATGGAGGCAGCTGTGAGCACCTCCTCAGGCACATGGATCCCTCCCATATCCCAGAGCCCTCTGCCCTGCTTTTGCCTGCCAACGAGCAGCTGGGCACATTGCTGCTGTCCTGATCAGCCTCTGGCCAGGGTCCCATCAGCAGCCTTGGACATGTGCAGCAGGCAAAAGGGTGTGAAAGGGGAAGCAGTTGGTTGCTTCTGATATGGGTTGGCTTGAGACTGCCCTGCCAAGGCCCAGCTCCATATTCTGGGCACGGGCTGGGGGGACAAGGCGGCACTACTAGACTGCCAGAACGCCCCGTCTCACACCCCCACTGCCTTCCCTTGCAGAGAAGATTGTGGAGACCCTGACGGCCTCTATCTTGGATCTGGTGGAGCTCTACTGCAACACCTTCAATGCCGACTTCCAGACCGCGGTGCATGGCAGCAGGAAGCACTACCTGGTGCAGGAGGCCTGTCTCCTGCCTTGTCCCCTCTCCTTCACTGTCTACGCCACGCACCGTATCCCCATCACTTGGGCTGCCAGGTAAGCACCTAAACCACTGGTGTGCCTCTCAGGGCTTCGAGGGACAGTGAGATGTCCCCACTTTGTCTGAATCTTCACTCTGGTCTGTCTGCAACCAGGTAGCCAGGGCAAGGCTTCCTTGGAGAGCAGAACCTCTTTGCACCCTCAGCCATTCAAGCTTCACAGGTGAAAGCCATCTTGAAGGGCTGAGGGTGCACAAATCCCTTCCTCGTCTTGGGGGCCTCTGCCTCACCTTTGTTTTGCAAAGAGCAGCTGGCGCGTTGCTCTCTGTCCTGACCAGCCTCTGGCCCACTCGAGGCTAGGATCCCGCCAGCAGCACTGGGCAGGGACAGAAGGGACAAGGGGCGAACTGGGGTGGCGTCCTCGTCTCTTAGTGTGGCAGCTCTTGTGCTCCGGGATGTCACTGGTTGAGGGGGCAGGAAAGCATCTTCTCTCCAGGCAGGGTGCTTGGCCAGCTGAATACCTTACACCAGTGGTCATTATGTCTTTCTCTGAGCCCACCTCCCACACCAGTCCCTCTTGGGACAGAATGTGCCACGGATCTGGTCTCCTCTGGCAGTTCCTGCGCTTTAGGGACATGTAAAGGAATGACCGTTGTCTCCGGATCCATCAAAGGCAAAAGCACAAACAGCTACTGACCGCCAGGATCCCCAATTCTGTCCCTTTGTGTGGTGCGGAGCGCTTGGTGGGCAGTGAAGGATGGAGGGATGCTCCGCTTCTCTGTGCAAGGAGATGGGATGGAGGGCGACGGCCGGGGGGCAGCTGGGCTCTGCAGCCCTCTCTCCAGCTCAGCCCAGTGCTGCTCCTGCCGGCTGCACTGGAATTCCCTGCTGCAGCCTCCCCCGCCCCCCCGGCCCTGCAGACAGTGACAGATGGCCTGTTCCCAGCCAGGGCTCCGGCCCCGGCGGTCAATGGCTGTTTGTGCCTTTGCCTTTGATGGATCGGGAGACAATGAGGAGGGTGCGTGTGTGGGTGTGGGTGCCGGGGCTGGCGGGGAGGCGAGGATGCTCCTTTGTTCGCGCCCGCGCCTGGATGCCTGTGTTTTGCAGGCCCAATGCCCATTGATAATCTGCATTCCTGGCTGTCTTACGGGCTCCGGCAGCAGGGCTATGCAAGGGAGGGGGGGAGGCAGCAGCAGCGGTAGCAGCCGCCCCTCCGGGGACCCCTCGCCTTTGTCCCATCCTTAATGTATTCCGATTGGTGATTGACTCCAAACAAAGGAGGTAGCCTGGGAAATCCAGGCATCCTCTGACCTTTGCCGCCCTGCGGCCCTCCTTGGCTCGGCGCTCGGCACCTGTCACATGGCCCTGCCCTTCTGGGAGACCCCCGTGTGATGGCATTCTCCGTGGCATATGTCGATCCGGCTGTCTGCAAGGAGCGGGGTCTCCTCTGCCTGCCCTGCCCCCATCCTTTCCTAAAGGGACAGCAGCCTGGGAAAGGAGAGCCAGGAGGGGTGGAGGATCCCTCACCTCCCAGCTGGGTGTGCTGGGAGTCCACCCTTCTCTCTGGGGAGAGGGGCCGTGCTGCTGGGTTGGCCCATTTCAGCCACAGCAAGAGCAGCATGAGCCCTGCACTCGAGCATCACTCCACCCTTTGGTGCCCTTTCCTTCAGAGACTCCCAGGAAGGCACTAGCCATGGCAGAGGCCCTGCCTGCAGTGTGAGGCCCTTCTGGGGAGGTACCAGCTCTCCGTGCAATTCCCTTGAGGCCCCTGGTTGCAGACCCAAGGGCCAAATGTTGGGCCTGCTGTTTTCCATGTACCCTCCCTGAGAATCTGGCCCGTCTCCTGGTTCTGCATCACACCTGCTCCAAGTAAGAGTCACGTGCCACTGCCAGGGCGAGCAAGCTAAGTCTGCCTTGGTCATGGGGTTTCACCTCTCCTCTGTACAGGCAGAAGTGACTCCTGGAGCTGATGGGGGCAAGGGAGATAACCCCCCTCTGAGCCATTACTGGCCAGCAAATAATCAAATTATCTGTCTCTGTGGCCTGGTACTCCTCTGGGGATGGCAGGAGGGGGAATGCCAAGGAACCAAGAAAGGGATGAGGGACAAGGGCAGAGGGGAGCAAATGGGGAGGAGGCGCATGGAAGGGCTATGAGGCCTGTTGCTCCTTTGCTGCGAGTTGCAGGCCTGTCCTTACCCCCCTCTTGCTTTCCCCCCTTCCTGTGGCAGCTATGAAGACTTCTACCTCTCCTGCTCCCTCAGCCATGGCGGCAAGGAGCTCTGCAGTCCGCTGCAGACGCGCAAGGCTCACGTGTACAAGTACCTCTTCCACCTCATCATATGGGACCAGCAGTAAGGCAGCTCCCTGTTCACCTTGGGCCAGCGGGATGCAGCGCGGGGAGTGGGGAACAGGCTGGGGGTCCTGCTCATGGGGATTTGGGTGCAGGCAGCCAAGGGGATGCAGGCAGAGGGCAAGATGACTAGAGCAGCAGCAGGATGCACGGCTGCCTGGGTGACCCGGCTGAAGAGCCCTGCTCTGTGTGAGTATCAGCCATGGCCTGGGGGGTCCAGCATGTACAGCTTCATGGCAGAGCCGGCAGAGCTGCTCAGACTATGGGTGTTGAATTCCCAGGCAGCATCTATTTTGGCGGCTGTCAGGCTCCTTCCTTGGACCCTGTGCTCGGGGTGTGTGTGTATGTGTCTCCAGCTGCTTCAGGGAAAGGGGATCTCATCCAAATATAGCCCTGGCAGCAGGGAGCCTGTGGTTGTCTCCTGAGTCCCGACCATGCCTGGCATTTTAACCATGCCGGCGGGAGGAGGGGAGGGCAAGGGATAATTTTAGGAGGTGACTGTCCCCGGGAAGGGCACAGGGAGAGAGACAGCAGTGCCGGTATGGAGGGTAGCTGCTAGACGCCTCCCTTCATGCAGCGTTTTCCCTTGCAAACCGCCTCTCTTGGACCCGCTGGTGCATGGGCTGGGCCCGGAGCTTGCTGGGCAGCCAGGAGCTTGCATTCTTTGCTGGCGGCAGGGAGAGTCCTCCGCCATGGGTGCCCCCCGCCGCCGCCGGGGATATGGCGCTGCCCTGGCCTGGCACACTTCTAGACTCTGCTAGCCCTGCGTGGCTGGCTTCTCGGACACCTGGCAGCACTTGCCTTGAAGGTGCCTGAATGGGCAGGGAAGAGGCCCAGGGACGAGGTTAGTGTGCATGTGTGTGTGTGCGTGCGCCCATGCCCTCCTTCCCGTGGCGGGGAATCAGCAGGCTGCAGAGGGCACCGTGCCCAGTCCTGCAGCTGGGGCTCTCACCAGGCCATGGAGGGGAGGGGATGGAGGCAAAGCCGGTAGGCCCTCCGAGCCTGGGTATGAGGGGCGTCCCCCGGAGGTGTATGTTTGCCGTCCCCCCTGGGTATCACCCTGGGGGAGCCCTGACTACCCAAGAGGGTGCCAGGGCTGCGAGGTTTCCATGTAGCCTCCTCTGGTCTGCATCACACTGGTGTTTGCAAAGGGGCTCTGATGTTGGAACAATGCAGCACCAGGGAGGGTGGAGGATGAGCTAGATTTTTTTTTCCCAGGGGCCTGAATGAGTCCCTGTGATCTGAGGTCACCAGTTCCAGGGGCCAGCCCTGTGGTCCCGGTAGCTGGGGGCTCAGCACCCCTGCATTTCCCAGTTATGGATAAAGGGGGGAAACAAGGCCTTGGCCTTCTGGAGCAGGGACACCGGCTCCCTCTCCAGAGCCCTACGAAGCCATGGACATGGCAAGCGGGATGTCAGCAGTGGCAGGGGGCTGAAGCTGGTACCCTGACTCCCGGCTCATGCTGCACCTTCTCCTAGGATCTGCTTCCCAATCCAAGTGAACCGGCTCCCGCGGGAGACGCTGCTGAGCGTTACTCTCTACGCCGTGCCTGTCCCACCGCCGGGCAGCTCCTCTGAGACCAACAAGCAGCGGCGGGTGCCCGAGGCGCTGGGCTGGGTCACCACCCCGCTCTTCAACTTCAGGCAGTGCGTACACATCCGAGCCCTGGGGGGGACCCTCTGCCCAGGGCTGGCATGGGGCACACGTGGACCTGTCCTTGCAAGAGGGGCAGGTTGGAGTGGTGCGTGCGTGTGCCGGGAGCTCTGGGTCCCCACACCAGCATCACAGCATTCACCCTTGTGCTGAGATTGCTGCTCCTGGGGACCCAGCTCTGCGAGGGGCTGCTTCCAGACTAGTGCGGTCTGCAATGGCATTGCCTCCCTTCAGGGGACGGCAGTACCCCAAGGCCTGGCACTTGCTCTTATCCATGGGTCCTGGTGCCCAGGCTCTAAGGTCTCCCCCTGCATCCTCCTCCAGGGTCCTGACCTGTGGGCGGAAGCTCCTGGGCTTGTGGCCAGCGACTCAGGACAACTCCAGGGCTAGGTCAAGCGCTCCCAACTTCAACCAGCCCGACAGCGTTATTTTGCAGGTGAGTCCCGGCTGGAAGCAACAAGGTGCCCTGTTTTGGTGGGGGAGAAGAGGGGAGAATTGGAGCCAGTCAGAGCCTGGCATTCAGAGGGCATCAGGCATCTGAGAGGTAGCCAGAGCTCAGCGTCCTCTTCTGTGAGCTGTCCCGAGGGCTCGGCGCCCGTGGTCTGGTACCATCATGGGAACCACTGCCCAGCATGCGCTAGGGAAGGTGGCGCACCTCGCCTGGATACTGTGGACCAGACCCTGGGGAGGTTTCCAAGGTAGGATGGGTGAGAAGGATGTCGGCCTTCCTCAGCTCCAAACACAACAGTGTCCCCCGTGGTAGGAGATGCTGACCTACCAGCCGGGCACCTAGAAATAGAGGGCTCTTGGCAGGTCCTCAGCTGCCTTTAACTACCCTTTGCTATGTCCTGGCCTGGCATGTGCTCCCTTTACGCGTGCCCGGGCCCTTCTTTCGGGCTCCCTCTATCTCACACTGGCTTGGCAGGGTTTCGGCAGAGCTCCCCGCTGCCTGAGAGGTGGAAGGGGGGTGAAGCATTGTGCTGGAAGCCAAGTACTCCAGCTGGAAGAGATTTGAGGCTCTTCTCCCCTCTGGCGGCATCTGCGATGCTTGCCCTGCTTTGCCCTTGGCAGGGGGCTGCCAGTACGGAGACCGCTCGGGACTCCCTTTGTTTGTCCTCATCTCTCCTCGTCCCATCTCCTCCCCTGGCTCTGCTGCTGTCGTTTCTCTCTCCACTGATTTCCATGACGCGTGTCCAAGAGATTGGGTTTCTCCCAGCGCCACTTACAAATCCATCAAGGTTTTCATTTGAGATTGGGCGGCCGGCCGCCTCGGCACAGCCTGCTGCTCGCAGGATGGCGCCTTCCTGCAGTGCTTGCTCTGCCGCTATGCCTGCTCCTAGCACTGGCCCCTGCGCAGGGCTTTGACCTCCTGTTTGTCCTCTGTGGAGGATAAAAGGGAAGTGTCTGTTAGCACCTCGGTGCTGCAGCCCTCCAGAAAGTGGTGGGTCTCTGGGGGATAGGGCCTGCAGATGCTGGGTTGGCCGTGACCACAGGAATCTCCCCAAGCCTCCCAGGCCAGGATACTTTCTATCCCACTAGGCTCCTAATGCTCCTTCTAGCAAAGAAGTGATCAGGGCAGGCTTCCCTTCAGCCGCATCCCAGCCTGGATGTTGGGGGTGCCCAGAAGTGCAGCCTGCTGCCTGTCCTGGGGTGCCTGTGGCATCCAGACCACACAGGAGATGGGGCAAGGAAGTGGGGAGAAGCAGGAGCGGTTCTGCTTGCTCCAGGGTAAGGAATCTGTGAGGCCGGCCTGGGTCTCTGTAGGTTGAGATGAGGTGCGGATGCCTTAATGGCCCTTTGTGTTCCTGGGCTGGAAGCTCCCCAGGTCTTGGCTTATGGGCACGGCAGGGCCTGCTGATACATGGCCCTGGCACGGAGTCAGATGCTGAAAGCTGATTCTGGCTGCTGGGAAGGTGATGAATAGGCCTTGTGTGGGGCAAGTTTCACAGCCGTGGCAATGGGTTGCGGTGGAGGGCATGCCAGCCACGAGGTGGGCAAGCCTTCAGGGCACCTCCCTTGCCCTTGGAGCATGGGGCAAGGGGAGGGTGGGCAGGGGACAGCCCCACTAGGCTTGTGGGAGCAGCAGTGTGGGTCAGGGAGCACCCCTTGGGGGTACTGCTAAGGCAGTCTGGGTGCCCCTCGAGGGTGGCAGCAGCCCATCAGCAGAGTCTGCTGCGTGAGCTCTGGCCCGTTCTGCCCCACCGCTGTCCAGATCGACTTCCCCACCTCTGCATTCGACGTGAGGTTCATGAGCCCGCCGGCTGCCGAGTTCAGCCCCAAGTACGAGTTCGGCAGCTTGGGGGACGAGGAGCAGCGCAGGCTGAGGGAGGTGATGCAGAAGAAATCGCTCTACTGGTGAGAGCCTGGGCTTGCTCGGGGGCTGGGGCTGCAGGGCGGGGGTCTTGCACTGGGGAACAGGGGACCTCGGGCTAGGTACTGGCTACAGCTCTTCGGGCTGGGCCTGAGACGGGCCCTCCAGTGCACCTGCACCTCTGCTGAGGACGTGGTGCCCCACCTGCATGAGGGATGTCCTGGACTCTTCCCATGGCGCCTCCTGACCTCTTGCTCGCCCAGACAGCTGGGAGGGAAGGAACAGCCCTCTCCAGAGGTGTTAACGCAGGGGGTGTTTCTCCAGCTGTTTTCCCTCCCTTGCTTCCCCCTGCCCAGGACAGCTGGCTGCTCCCCACCCGCCAGCAGCCAGGCTGCCAATGTTTGCTGCCCTGGGCTGCCTGTAAACAGGAAGGATCAGGTGTCGCTGGCTGCACTCGCTCGGGGTCAGCTCGCTGCAGGCTGTGCACATGTCTAGGTCATTACTGCAGGGTTCCCACAGGCTGGGCAGCGGCAGGGGGAGGGGGAGGAGGAGGGGGTGACATCAGCCCTCTCCTACCCACGCTGGGGATCTGGGAGGTCCTGAGGAGCTGGTCCCAGGCATCTGGAAGGGCCCAGGCTGGGACTTCACACAACCCCCCAGGGTCCTGCCAGGCTGCCCAGTACCGAGCCCTACCCTGAGGTCTGGAGAGCCCGTCCTTCCTGGCTACTGCCCGCTCAGGGGCGGTGGAGCAGACCTGGGTGCCTTTGCTCTACTGGAGCACCCTCCCTCGCCCAGTGGGGGTGAGCAGTTGGGTCCAGCCCCACCAGCAGCATTTCCCACTGCTGCCAGAGTCCTGATTCCCACAGTTTCCTTGCTGGCAGGGAAGACCCGGCAGGGACACAGCAGAAAACACGGGCTACTGTGACCAGCGAGTCCTGAAGGCCACCAGGCATGTGGACTCAGGGTCTCCAGCCAGGGGGTAAAGGGCTGGGCTGCCCCCAGTACTGCAGCGCTGCAGGGCTAGAACAGGCAAATCCACTGGCTCAAAACATGGCATTTCCCGGGGTGCAGGGAGCAGGCAGCTTGCCCATCCTGGCATCGTGCTTCTGCAGGGCGGTGCCCACCCTGCCCCAGGGCTTGGCAGGTTCATGCGCCCTTCTCCTGAGCTGGCAGCAGTGTGTTGCTCTTGTTTGCTTTGGGCCAGATCGCTGAAGGGAGTGCCTGGGAACAGAGCAGGCCTCCCTCTTCTCACACACAGGCGCACACACCCTGATCCTGACCCCAGCCCTTCGTCACACACAGGATGGGCCACCTATGGAGAAGTGGCCTTGGGCAGTGTCTGACCCTGCCCCACTCGCTCCCCTGGGCCCTGAGCCGTGGCCATGCCATCCCACCCAGCCCAGAGCACAGGGTTGCCTGCCAGGTGCTTCCTCAGGAAGCCATGCCCGCAGCCCAGGCAGCTCCTGCTCCGGGGCAGAGGCAAAGGCAGGATGCACCTTCCTCCCTGGGTTCAGTGCAAGCTCAGAGGTGGCTGGAGGAATTGCTGACTGTCCCCTTCCCCATCCGCTGCCATTGTGATCCCCTGGCACCCTCTAAGCCCCTTCCCCAGCCCCCCCAAACCTGCCCTTGGGGTGACTGTGCCCATGGGGGGGAGCAAGTCAGCAGAGCCCCCACCCCAGCCCCCCCAAACCTGCCCTTGGGGTGACTGTGCTGCCCCCTTGTGGCTTCTCTAAGCAATGACATCCTGGCTGCTGGGCCATCGGCTGAGGGCCCAATCCTGCTTCCCGCATGGTGCTGCCTGGCATTGCTGTGCTCTGCGCTCTGGTCCCAGCTCTCCAAGGCAGGGCACCCCCTACATGCATAGTCCCCCCAACCCAAGCTTCATGGCCCTGTGCACGTGCAGTCCCCCCTTCCTGAGCTCTGTGCCCCCTGCTACTTTAGGTTGACAGATGCTGACCGGAAGCGGTTATGGGAGAAACGTTACTACTGCCACACAGAGCCCGGGTCGCTGCCCCTGCTGCTCGCCAGTGCCCCCAGCTGGGAGTGGGCCTGCCTGCCCGACATCTATGCCCTGCTGAAGCAGTGGACCTACATGAATCACCAGGATGCCCTGGGACTCCTGCATGCAACGTAAGACAGTGCCTGGGGCATTCACCTGGGTGCGGGGAGACGGGGGCTGTGCTGAGGGCCAAGGCAGTTCCTCCTCCTTACCCTTGTCCATTCCTAGATCTCTTCTTTCTGCCCCTGAGCCCAGAGCTGGGTGACCCCAATCCTAATGTCCAACTGGAACCTCTAAACTCAGTCTTAACAGTGTGCCCTGCCAGGATGAGGGTTGTGGTGGGTAAAGTGAGGACAGCAGAGGAGCTGGAGGATCCCCAAACCCTCCAAAATCCCAGGGGTGATTGAGGGGACCCAGAGGCTTCCTGGAGACAGGCCAGGCCTTGGTGTCTCTGTGGCTGGCTGGTGGCATCGGTGGGATGGCACGGTTTGCCTCACCGCGAGAAGGGCCTTGTGTGATGCCCTCCTGGTGACACGTGGCTGGCGGCTGTAGGTTCCCCGATCAGGAGGTGAGGAGGACGGCTGTGCAGTGGATCGACTCCATATCCGACGCAGAGCTGCTGGACTACCTGCCGCAGTTGGTCCAGGTGGGTCACCCAGGCGAGCATGTGAGGCTTGCCAGGCCCACAGTGACCAGGACAAGGCCCCACCTGCCCATCTGTCCTGTCTGCTCATGGAGGAAATGCTCCGTCTCCCTTCTTGCAGGCCCTGAAGTATGAGTGCTACCTGGACAGTCCTCTGGTGCGGTTCCTTATGAAGCGAGCCATCTGCGACCTCAAGATCACGCACTACTTCTTCTGGTAATGCTGGTGGAGGAGTCGCAGCCTTTGGGACGACTGTGCCCCCTTCTGCGGCTTGCCCAAGGGAGCAGGGTCCTTTCCAGGATCTCCCCTGGTGTCGGGTGCTGGGGCAGAGGAAACATTCCCATGACCCACATCCCAGCCGTGCCTCCTCCCCGGGGCTCCCCTCGCCCTCAGACCTGCAAGCCCCAGCTTGCGTGTTGACTGCTGTGGTTGCGCTCTCTCCTCAGGCTACTGAAGGACGGTCTGAAAGACTCCCAGTTCAGCATCCGCTACCAGTACCTGCTGGCGGCCCTGCTCTGCTGCTGTGGGAAAGGCCTGCGGGAGGAGTTTGACCGGCAGTGCGCGCTGGTCAACACCCTGGCCAAGCTGGCCCAGCAGATCCGCGAGGCCGCGCCGTCCTCGCGGCAGGTACGTGCTTGGCTGAGACCATGTCCTTTCCCCACCAAGCGTGTGGCAGGCGGCTGGCTCGGGTTGCAGACAGGACTCCTCTCCCTGAAGTGAGAGAGCACGATGTGGAGCCCATAACTGGGCTCCATTTGATGTCTCCAAGACGGCAGCAGC